CCACTCAGCTCCTGGATATTGTGCAAGAAATTGCATTCGCATCAGGGTTACAACTAAACATTAATACGACGTGCATCATACCATTTACGCATATCTTTCATTGTCGATTACAGTCTTTTATTTGTTTGTGTCTGAAGTGGCAAGAATACGTGCTTCAACGGATCACAAAGTTCTACAGCGGTCGGATGCCATCAGGAGAGGTTTTGGGTGCGAAGGTGAAAACCAATCAGCGATTTTGTATTGAACTCAGGAAATCATGGAAAGTAATCACCGCGAAGTCTATTCCATCAACTTTATTTAATTTTTCAAAGTCATTATCCAAAACTTCGCTCGCTCGAAAGATAGGGATAGTGACTCTGCTGCTGCAGACAATTTGCAAAAAGATGTCTTTATACAAGTGTTTTTCGAATAGTAATTTTGGTTTGGCGCCTGCCAATGCCTGTATTCAAGCTATGCACCTCACGTCGGTAAGATATAAACTTGTCTCGACGCATAAATCAAACGTTTTTTTTTCGCTGGATCACTTTGAAAACATTACCATCTTACATGAACGATGGTCCTCCTTGGGTTTTGGCGTCATTTCCTTTCGCAGATGAGGATAAACATTGTTATAGACCCCTGACTATCGAAGAATTACCACACACGTATCAGCGAGAGTGCATACTGATCACGGTCTCACATACTGGCCAAAGTCAGGAAAATGGCTATTAACTTTCCTTTGAATTGTCTTCAAGACTTTGTGGATCATTATGGTATCTTCGCAACACACAAATATCGAATAGTCTTTCCACCTGACCTACTTCGAAGACACGTTTAACGTCTGGCACAAAATTTGACCTTTCTTCACATTGGCATGTAATTGCCATGATAATCTCAGTTAAAGTGGACGTGCCAGTAACGGATATAGTCTCGAACACAAGCTAGTCATCATCACATCTAATCTGTGACTATGTAAAACTTCTTTCATAGTCAAATTGATGCATCGCATCCAAAGCTGCTAAGAACAAGCTTCGGATTTCTGGCTTTGTCTCAACGTCGGATACATAGCAGTTTGATACCGTTTGGATCGTCATGTAAACCAAGTACGTGCACTTCTCACGCTCCGTCTGTATCACAAGATATTGGTATGTTGATTTAAATCCTGATAGAAAACAGAAGTCAATTCAAGCAGTATATGTATTCAGGAATGCACAAACGTTGACCAAACACCACTTTGCAAGCCCAAAAGCGTTTTTGGGCTTGCAAGTGGCATCACAACAATATAGATACTTTCTGCAGTCTATTTACAACTTCCTTTTTGAAGATCAAAATTGGTCTATGACTGTGCTCCCGATTTCTTTTCGTCTTCAACATTAGTCTATACAGCAATATGGCGCTTATATCTTCTATGAAATCTTCAATGTTGTGTGCTGTTGTGTACTTCGCGCATCTCATGTCCATCGAAACAAACAACTTTACACAATGGATGCATCGACTTCCAGATTTTGTACGCCGTCTCGCTATTGTATACGTAGTCGGCAGTTTTGATCAAATGCAGTTATGGACACACGCGAATGGTTAGTAATAACGTTGAACGACTTGAACGAAACGCTGTCTGTCCATGAATAATGTATCCTCGCTCATCATCCTTAAATTAAAGAAAAAAATGTTAAAGTGAAATACTTACCTCCGAATTCTGCTACCGCCAGATGTAAAAATTACTTTTCGCTGAAGTGACGTAATTGTGTCCGATAGATCCAGCACGCATTATCGCCAAAAGAGCAATATCTACACTGTTATCTATGAAATCTGTGAAGTCTTGCTGGAGAGCTATCGACAACTGGCTTGTGTTGAACTGTTTCAGGTACACAGGAGTCACACGCCACCGCTAACCAACGAACAGTGGCTTGGATAGATGATACGGATAGTGGAAAGATGTATTGGCGTAATGAGCTTAAGTTAAAATACTCACCGTAGCAGCTTCATAAAAGCCATACCACTAGAGTACTCTTAACATTTGCGCTTTCGTCTACTAAAGCGGGGCTGCCGTAGCTAAGCACTTAGCTAACTTTAGGTCACCGACCTTTCGTTCTTTACAAGAACCCAGTATGAGTTAGCGAATCGCAATTTGCTTACTCCAAAAGTGATTATTGCCTTGCCAAGGCTAATTGACTCTTCGATTTAAATTCAAAATTGATTACCCCAATTTTAAAATTTTAGATTTTCCTAAATATACTAAATATATAGGAAATTCTTAATACATGCATAACTACTGGCTACCTAGCCACAAACCGTATTCTTGTTTGGGTGTGGTCACACCATGCACATCTCGTGTGACACACACCCCTTTTATCAGGGTTCATGTTAATCCGTTACACCCTCCCCCACTGTCATTGAGATCATTTACAGTTCCAATCAATTATTACCTCAGCAAGGCTCGCGACTCCGTTAGACACTGCAACTCAATTGTTGGAATTTAAAAACTTCCTTGCTCAACGAGCCCTGTGGCCACGGCACGAAAAGCACTATGTTTGCTGGTTCTGACAGCGAGCACGGGCAGAGCCCAACGTCGTCCCCCGCACGCAGTGCGATGCTGAACCGTGCGTCCGCGTCAACGAAAGATGTATATCTTAGGCTCGATAAGCACAAACGTCGTCCGCGCATACTTTCAGTGCCGAGTGGCCTCGTTGAGGATGTGGTCGACTATGAGTCTGACACTTCTTTTTCTGCATGGGATGACGAGGAGGCGAGGTGCACG